CACAGAGCCACGTTCTCGTGTCCGGAGCCGCACAGCAATACTGCTCAGGACGTTTCCCGCTGCTGTCAGGAGAAGCGCTGCACGTGTGTCTGTTGAAAGTAGAAGCAACATTCAACCACTGAGGTTTGCATTCCTCTTCCAGCCGCTTCTCCAAACCGCTGGGACAGTTGTTGTCAAGCTGTTCCTTCTTCATGTATTATCCCATATTTAAAATCTGCTTATGGATTAGAACATAAACATGATTTTCTAGAAGGAATGGCTGATTTTTTGCGGGTCCTAAGATAAATTTTAGCCCCACAGAACAACAAAAACAACCCTTGAAAACGCTGGAATCTGATCCACAAACCAGGATGGATCTGTGGCTCTTTATTATTTAGAGCTGAAGAAGGTGGAGCAGTAAAAAGGCAGGAAAGCATTTTTTTTTTCCCCTGAATACTTAAAAAAAAAAAAAAATTGTTTGTTTGTTACTTCCCTCAATAGTTGCAGTTTCAAACAACCTGACAAAAACGGGCACCAGTGCCGACACACCCCTCTTTCCACCTTCAGAAGATGAAAGGAAAAGGCTTCACTTCCCTTTCTGTGCTTGGCTTCTCTTTGCCTGCGCGACCCCGGAGCTCCCTGGGGTCTGGTGCGCCGTGAGGGTAAGGCCTGCTGCCCTCTTCATCCTTTCCAAACTGTAGCATTCCACTTTTTCTTCGCTGGACATTGTCCTGGTGCTTACAAGGCGAAACCCATCTCTGAGCAAAGTGTCAAGCAGCAGGCCGAGCACATTGGTACCGTTAATCAGCTTTCTGTTATCAGGCTTTATGGAAACGTACCTAAAATAAGAAAAAAACCCAGTTACAACACCCTTTTAATTACTTCCTGAAGGACAGAACCAAATGGGTTTTAAAATAAACCAGCTCCTCCGACGGTGCAAGTCGGCAACCATGGCTCTGGATAATTTCTTTTTTCCCCCTCTGAGGACAATTTAACTATTTCCCTCACTGTAAGAACAGTAATTCTCGGCCCCTCCAGTCACAAGTTAGAGAGGCAGCGCTTCTCTTCCACACCAAAACTTACCTTCGTAAGAATCAGCAAACCTCCACCTCATTTCACTCCGTTTCACGGAGGAGAGGTGAACCTCGTGCTCGCTGAAAGGGCCGCAAAAGTTTTCCGGGTGAGAGTAAACGATGGAAAGGACGGTGGCGCCACACTGACCGTCACTTTTCATCACACGGGACCTCTCCCTACAGTGACATTTATTGCCAAGTTCCCTTGTCCGGCAAGTCTTGTGGGTGACAAGTACAAAAATCACTTTTCCCGTCGCCTCAAACGGTATTACTTTGCTGTAACGTACGGGGTAAGAATGTACCCAGGCATTCTAAGGAAGAGAAGTCAGGTAAAGACACAATTACAAAACATATAAGCAGAGAGGGGTGAAACTTCCACAGTTCACAGGGAAGCACACCAAACGTTCAGGGAAAGCACAAAAAAGGGGAAGCCCGTGTCACCACAGAGACTCGGTCGACAGAAAGTCGGCAGGCAACATCACCAAACTCCTTTCATTACTCACGGTAAGCTTTTCTACTGATCTGCAGAGGAAAACCTGTACCGGGTCTGAAGAAATAAAGGAAAGAATCAGGAATGTTGTCCCCGCTGTTTAAGTTGCCCTAACCTCCTCAACCTATTGTCCGTCCATTAAAATGAGTAATGCCATGTAAAGTTAAGGTTTGGCACATGAACATACGCCGCCTCGCAAATGCAAAGTAGTTTTTCTTCTATTTGCTTAGCTAAAGAAAGCTAGAAGAATGATAAACTTTGTTCATCATTATTTATTTTTTAATAATCGAAAGACTGCTGTGTTGAGTCATATATCCAGAGAGAATAACCCCTGTGGAAATATTCCACTGAGATTTCCATAAAATTCCAGATGTTCTAAGCCACAGAGGACAAATCAGGTTACATCTTCTTGTACGGTAAGAACAGGTCTCCGTACCATAGCGACACCCAGCAAAAACTTAATTGAAAAACTGAAGTTGCCATTAGAATACGATACTGCTATCACACAAAATCACTGATACACAGTAATCTTAACAGAAACAGAACCTGGCTCTGAATTCAAAGAAAAGCCACCGTGTAGCATAGAGTTAATAATCTACCCCTTCCCCTCCCCCC